CCCCTCCCCGCCCCGACACACACACTATGCCACTTAGCTAGTAGCTGCCTCCTCTCCGCTCCTGACAACCTGAAAGTTGTCAGATGGGGAGGCATCCTAGAGAAGCATATGGTGGTCCTATGCCTCCCTGAACCCATCTCCTGCTGTGCCCGGATCTCTACATCAATGGGGCATCACACAGGGTCTTCCCTAACCCCACAGTTAGTCTCAAGTCCTGTTAGCATCACCTCCTCCATCCCTCCCATTGTTGAGAGATCTGGCCTCCATCACCTCCCCTAACTGGTCTCTCTGCCTCCAGAGTTGCCCCAAACCCACGCTTCATCAGCTGTCAGAGAGGTCTCTAAAACCCAGTCCGAGAATGGCATTTCTTAATTCAACCCACCCATAGGATCAAATCCCAGCTCTTTAGAAAGGTGTTCTCCGACCAGGCCCTCACCTGTCTACCTGATCCCAATGCTTGCCCCTGCCCATGGTCAACCATCCAGGGCTCTGCAAGATAGGTGGCTCAGCGAGAGCCCTGGGGAAGAGCCAGGCTGCCGGGAAGCTAAGGAGGGGCCTGTGGTGATGTGTGTGCCAGGTCCCAGCTCTGGGCTTCATCCTCTCACGACCCCTGTGAAAGATCAGCTCATCAGCCAGATGGAAGAGGGCTCTCTCAGACATCCAACCCTAGGACCTATTCCCTAGGAGGGCCTCGAGGTCATTGTCGTCCTGCTGTCTGTCTCTGCAGGTGGATACAGGACAGAACTGTTGCCAGAAAGGAGGGCAGGAGACCCCAGCAGTTCTCGCTCTTCCTCTCTCCACGCTGCCAGTCCTGGTGTTACATGCTCTGGGCATCTTTAGGTTGGAGTTTGACCTCCATCCTTTCTTCTCATGAAACTTAGAGTTTCTGTGAGTCTTCCCCTTCCTGTGCCAGCTTCATCCTTCCAGGGCTCAGGCCAAAAGTCTGTTGTCTCCTTGATCCTCTTTCTTTTACACTCCATTTTGAATACAGGGACAAGCCCCGCTGTCTGTACCTGCAGGACACAGCCAGAATCTGACCAGTCGCCGTCACTTCCATGCACGTCTCCAACGCCAGCCTGTCCTGCCGTAGCTTCCTCGCTGCTCTCTCTGTACCCTGTACTCTCCCTCCATCTCTCTCGCTCTCTCTCTCTCTCTCTCATAACTTTTTAGAGCAGTTCGATGTTCACAGCAAAACTGAGCTCTGGGCAGGAAGTTTGGAGAATTCCCATATTCTCCCTGCCTCTATCTCTTTTCAGCACAGCAGTGCTATCTAAAAAGCATAATAAAGTACTATGTCCAAACCTTCCCCATCAGAACATCAGAACGCCTCTCTATTTCTCTCAGAATAAAAAAACTAAAGTGCTTCCCAAGGCCCACAAAGCCCTGCTTCCTCTCAGTCACCTCCGCCTGCCACCCCTTCACTCCCCTCCGATCACCCCGGACTGTGTTATTTCTCAAACACCCACACACGTTCCCACCTCTGGGTCCTTGAACTTGCTCTTCCCTCTCCCTGGAATGTCCTTCCCACAGATGTCCTCATGACTCGTCCTTCCTCTCCCTCAGGAATGTATTCAGAAGACACCTTTCGCGAGGCCTTCTCTGTCCTGCTCTAGTTTTCTCCATAGCACTTGTCACCAGCTGGCGTGCTGTGGCTCAGACTTCATTTATCATCCGTCTCTCCTCACTCGGGCTCTGAGCCCCACAGGCAGGGATTTCTGTCTCTTTTGCTCACTGTGGTTTTCCCAGCCCTAAACTGCGCTTGGCCCATGTGAACGAGTGTTTAAGAATGGGATAGGTGGATGGACGGCCTGCCAGGCTCCGCTGCTGTCATGAGAATGACCACGCACACTTGGGTCCAACCTGTCTGGAGCCTTCCACTGGCAGGAACCTCCCTTTCCTCTGTTTTCTGTAGTGGTTAATAGAGACGAGTGTCTTGGAGGGATGGAAATGCTTCGCAGTCCTGATGGATGGTCTTGCTCGGTGGCTGAAACATGGAACAAGTTCATTCCCGTTCCTTGGTCCCCATAAACAGCAAGTCGCCACACCCGGGACTGGGTTTTCTCACCACCTTCCGTGAATGCAAGGCTGCTTGCTGTGCGTATGGCTGGGGTCAGAGGATGGCTCACCCTGTCTGTGCTTTCCGGTTGGAAGGGAGATTGCTGTCTTTGCTTTACTCGGCCAAGGTCCTGCAGCTGGACACGGCCATGGGAACCCTGTTCCGCAGGCCCTGGCCCATTCTGCTCAGCGCTATGTGTGTGCTGGGCCCTTAGGATGGATTCCCTCATCTGATCTTCACATCAGTCTAGTGACGGAGGAAACGGGGCCTCAGAGTGGTTGAGTAGCTTAGCCAAGGTGCATAGCTGGCCGGAGCGGGCTTAGGAGAGGAACTCGGGTCAGTTCGGCAGCTTACGTGAAGTGCCTAGTACCATGTCCGCATCGGGCATGATAACAGTAAAAGTAAACATTTATAATAACATTGATCGAACTCAGGCTATATGCCAGGCAGTCTGCTAAGGTCTCTGTGTGTCACCTGATGATTCACAACATCCCCACGAGCTGGGTGCAGTCATGATTCCTATTTTTCAGAGGAGGAAACTGAGGCCCAGAGAGAGAACTTACAAGGTAGACTAGCTGGTCTCCAGGAACCCTTCAGGCAACTCCAGTTTCAGCTCAGTGTTTTCTGCTCTTTGTGGGGTATTTTGGGGTGTCTGCCCCCAAGAGTCATCTTTTCCAAGCTCTCAGGGGTGAACAGTGCTTTTGGAGGCCCAGGTTGAGATGAAAGCACATAGATGAGAGCCTGTCCCCCTGTGCCGTGCACTGTCCAGCCTCACCGTGGGGCTGGGTCCAGGGCAGGGCTGGCTGTGTGGGACCCACACAAGGGGCACTGAGTGAAGAATCCAGAGTAGGGGGATTCCATGTGACCCTGACTGGAACTCCCTAGTATTGTCCCAGGAGTAAAGGGGGGCCAGTGTAGCCCTAGGTGGGATGGGAGAATGGGGGAAGGAGAGGCAGGTTTTTGGCACAAAATGAGGAACAACTTTCTCCCCTGAGAACTGTCCAGAGGACTGAGCTCCCATAGGAGTGCCATGTGCCCCTTGCTCTGGAGGCTTTAGGGGGCATCCTTTGGAGATAAAACTGAGCTCAGTGGCCTCTGGACACTCAGTCAGCCCACTGAAAGCACCATCTGGCTTTCACGGTGCACCCTGTCTTTGGGAGCCCAAATCTTTTGAGGCATGTTCATTCATTGTTTGCAAATTGTAAAGCCCCAGCAGGAACAGTTGACTATTACCCAGTAGCTCCTCGGGCTGAGCTCCAGGTAACCGTGCTGTCTCTCTCTCCCTCAGCCCAGTTTAACGGCAACGAGAAACGACAGTCGTCCCCCTCACCTTCCCGGGACCGGCGGCGCCAGCTTCGAGCTCCTGGAGGGGGCTTCAAACCTATCAAACATGGGAGCCCCGAGTTCTGTGGGATCCTAGGAGAAAGAGTGGATCCCGCTGTCCCGCTGGAGAAGCAAATGTAAGTTCTAAGTGGGCAAAGCCTAACCTCAGCTCTCAGTTCGTGCAGTCATTG